TCAGCACATATATTTGCTCTCACTTTTGCATTCTCATTCGTTAAGCGTTAGCCTTATCTAGCTTAAACCAGGAAATCAAACATTATGGCATCCAATCTCATTAAGATTTTTTTTTACTTTAGCTAAGCTTTTTGTTAGTTTCAAGTATGTCTTTTCTGTTAATGAATCTTTACAACATCGTCCTTTTTTAATCTACGTTCTTCGGTGCTAAACGCTTTCTGTATCAACTTTGTGCATACTTAATTTGTCTCACCAGGTTTTCATAAACAGTAATTGAGACCATAAAATCATTGATTATGTCGTTGGTAGAGTCAGTTTTTTTGAGGAACGCTGCTGAATACCGAAAAATAAGACACCCATATTAGACTTGTGGAATATTAAAGAATATTTTAGTTCTAAATTTGTTTAAGATCTTGTCGTTCGTGTTCTAAGACTGAAAGCAATATTCTAAATCACAAATTCTCCAGTTATATCTGTGATTTAAATCTCATTAATTATCCAATATCACAGAAAAAAATATGGAATAGGCTACGTTTAATTGCTGGTATGTTTGTTCTGTTTATTAGAAAAAGAAATTATTTTCGGCTTTGTGCATTAAAAACATCTTTTCTACACAGTCTAATCAATGTTTAGGTTGCTTGAAAGTTGGCTATTCTAATTTCACAATAAAATAACTTTTGTTCATATTTTCTCAACTGCATCAATGAAATAACTGAGTGGCTTAGGATCATCAGAAATCGACCACACCATTTATATTTTACGCTTTTGTGTCACAAAGTCATCAAATCACTGCGGGTAACTCAGTCGATGCAATCTCGCATAAAATATGTTGCGCGCCTACAAATTTAAGATAAGATAGTGTACTCTGTTAACTTGAATCCAGCGCTTTATAAATAAGACCCCATTTATCTCCCTTCCTGCACTCAGGTTCACATTAGCATATGAAATACGACTAACAGATTGCACTTTTACCTAGCTAATGTTTAGATTTCTTTGACTGACCCGTTAATAAGTGAATCTAAGAGTGAAGGTGCTCCACTATTATTAGCAAGTAAAGCAAACAATTTAGATTCTCTTATTTTCGAATTATCGGTTTAAAATTTTGGCTTCGTATGATTGAACACTATTTTGTCACGCAATACACTCACTTGAACCAACCGAAACCGATCTTTTATTGATAGCCTAAGCATCCTAAACTGCTCCTATATATCCCGCAACGCCATTTCCATGTTTCCTGCAGAGAAATCTAACAGTATATTTGCAAAGTTGTTTTGAGGCAAACATTTTTCGATGACCACCAGTATTACCTCGCCTTGATGAGTAAAATGAAGCGCGGAGAAACCTAAAATTAATAGAGAAATAAAAGGCCCGGATAATGGACCTGGTTTATTTGGAGGGATAATTTCTCGAAAACTTGTTACAAATTACCTGAATACCCATCGCCTAGTCATCCAAATATTGGAATTTTACAGACCGCCATTGTTAAATCTTTATACGTCCTCTTCAAGGCTTACACGGCTTCTTTGACGCTGTGTGATGCACAGCCAATTTTGTACTCTTGGCAAAATTAGTTCAAGATTATGCAACCACTAAGTATTTGAGAGTTGTTTTCAGGGACAAAAACGGCATTTTTTTCCTTTCCCTTTGATAAGTACACTAAAATCTTTGGCGCCATGTCAAGACCGTATCAAACCATTTCAATGATATTGCCGAATTCTTGGTGTTAATCATTCTCCCCTCGTTAGATCAAGGTGGTGCAAGCATTTATAAGCAGAATCATTCTGGCATGCCTAACCATAAGTTCTTTTCTTTTTTCTAGTCATGGGAAGACAAGCCTTGCTTAAACGGGGCACTAGAGCATTGGTCAACTGGGCTTGCTTTGGATTACGGGCGGACTTATCGGTGTCACTGTCTTTGTAATTCACAATTCTACCTTACCCAGCCTCGCGTTTTGTCTATGGTCACCGACCAATAACTTTCACATGAGTGATCTAGTGAGCAATATACGTGAAAGTATCCGGGACTTCTCATTTCCCGGTCATCCTATCAAAGGAGGATATTGAGGCTACTCTTGTCCATGTGGGTTTATTCTATTCTTTGGTATACGTATTCCTTTTACTCTCACTGGTCACTTAATCATTCTGTAAATACAATCGCTTCCACTTTACTAACAGACAACCGGCGTATGAGCAAAAATACGCTGTCTCTATCATCACTCGTATCCTTTTTCTTTTCAGGTGTTGCGCAGCTGCAGTAGAACCAAGTGATAAAGTAGTCACTCATTGCGATATTGCGGTGCACCTGACTCGTGTTTGGAGGATGATCAAGATCATAAATCTGCAAAGACTGCGGAGAAAACTTTCAACACACAAATCCCAGTCTTTCGTTTTAAGTGTTAAGGAATCATCGAACAGAAATTTATCAGCTTGGCTGATATGGGTCAAGAGAACCCACGGTCCTAGATCTATGAACGCAGTCCAATTTTAAAGGACAATTAAGGGACAGCCTATAGATTTCGTAATTGGTTATATTCTCAGTCTCTGAATAGGCAAGTAACGCCAAATATCCATTGATAATACGCAAAGTATCCTTATGGTCTTAATCAATTGGCACTAAATCCTCAGTTTTGCCATGTTGTGAACGAGTTACCGGTTAAGTTTTGCCTGGCATAATCTGCTCTTGAGTTCTAGCCTCCGTACTGAAAATTGATGCTTACAGACGACAAATCGGGTCAGTTAGGTCAAAAAACAAAGGCAGTGAAACTTGAGTTTATCGCAAGCACTGCATACACCAGATTTTTGTGCACGTTGGTCTTTCAATCACGGGGGATTCTACTTGAGGCCTTTTTTCTGGATGGGGGCAAAATCATGGAGTTTCTGCATCCTCTAAGATAGATGCAAGCTGATGCGACCTGAATGAGGGAAATGTGCTTTAATGTACTTGTTGGACTCAAAACCAATTTACCTGTGTGAACAAATTTTGTTAAACATAAAATGCTTCCTTTACGTCAGGGACACGACTTCACCTCTCCTAGATATTAGCCTAAAATTATCCTGAAATCTTGTGAAGTCAATATGCAATTTTGCTACACCTGAATTTAAGAATGCCCTCACATGCCACCATGTTTTCCAGTCTTTATGACCTGATGCAAAGGCAGCCTGCAGCAAAACTTTTCCCCTGTTGGTACTCCTGAAAGATATAAGATTTTAGAACCCTTGTTTAAGCCAACACACAAGTAAGACAGCCAGTTGATGGTTGGCAACAATCAGTCTACCTCATTGAAAGCAATTATATTAGTCCCTTGCAAATCGACCAAGATGAGATATTGAAGTTTGATAGTTGTTTAGATTTTTATTAAAGCATCCGCATAACAATTGCATAGACAATTCTGTGCCACACATACAGAGGGGGGTTTGAGTTAGGAGGAATTAAAGAAACATATCCCTTTGGCCCCCTAATTATCTACTAATACACGTAGAAGAGGAATGGCTATCACAAGAGCAATGGGTGGATTCTGTACAAACAATGCTACAAAAACACTGTCATATAGACACCACAAACTGGAGGCGGTGGGAACTTAAACGATCAGAAAGAACAAAATGATCGATCACAAGGGAGCAGATTGAGAGACAAAATAAACAACCAAAGATTAATAACCAACAAGAGGGAACGCTTCAGTAGAAAAGTGAAGAGAAATGCGTGAGTGCAAGACAAATAAAATGTGGAACGTGCATTGAAGACCTGAGGGACAGTAAATGCAGAGATAATTGGCCATACTGCAGCCTATGAGGTGGTTTGCAGGCCCGGTGTTGTGTGAACTCTGATCAGAGGTGAGGCCGAACGTGGAGAGAGATTTTCAGGGCTTGCTGATGAGGCCGCTGTGGTATCCCGTGGTGTTTGTAGTGGGCGGTTCACACTGTGCCCACTTGTAACTTCACATGGAGAATGAGCTGAGGTGGCTGCCATCAGAAAACAGGGGCCATTAGGGGATCGCGTGGAGAAGGTAGGTTGATGAAAACGACTGACGGTAGATGAATTGTCAGGAAAGTGTTCAAAGTTCGCGGGAATGTTCATCATGGTTGAAGAGTGGGATTCATCTATCGCCTCATTGGTAGAACTCGTCTCGCTAACGCCAGAACTTTGCAGTTTAGTCATTTGAGTACCTGAAAAAGTTTAAAATGTATTTTCATGTCACTAACTCGCGAACAGTTTTAATACTAAATGGATGATTCCATAATGTTTGTTAAGCACACCCTTCCAAGCCCCTGTAACTGGACCGTCCACATTTATTTAGTCATAGTTTTGCAGCGGAATGTGTGTTTAGCTACCGTCTGTTGAGAACAATAGTTCCAATTTTTCCATCGTAATAGTTAGCGCGTCGTTTTATCGCATGTTATAAACACAGGTATTTACCG